AGCAGCTTTACCTACTTCAGGCACAGGGACTTTCTTCCTGGCACTCTAGGAGGCCCCGAACGTCACTATCAAGTGCCAAATTACACCAGCGCACACACGTATCCTGGTGTGTGCTTGCTCCCTAGAACCCCCTGGAACTTCACAGCAAATGGGCATTTAAGATCCATCATCACAGTACCCCAGTTACAGGACTAGCAACCAATGTACAGATGTGAAACTTGGGGCCCAGAGGTCCCAGAGCTCATGCAGGTTCTTTTAGCAAAGGCAACCATCCCAGGGATGCCTTCAAGGCCACACAGCATTCTAAGCTCGGGGGAGAGAAGAGGGTGACATTAACAGATAGCTATGTGTTTTGTACAAACACTTTCTCCACTGGGCCTCAGAACGTCCCCAATGAGGTAGGGATCATTTAGCTACATTATAGAGAAAAAAACCCAATACAGCAAGGTTCAAATGGATGAAGTGATTTGCCCAACATCACTCAGTGAGTGAATGAAGCGAGGTCTATGTGACCCTAAAGCCCACTTCCTTTGTATGCCAGGCTGCCAGAGTTGAAGGTTACAGCTCACGCTTTCAACTCGTGAAGACGCCCGCACTGGCCAACAAATTTATTCATCAGAGCCTGGTGTGAGCACACACGCAAGCTTCTGGAGCCACACATGCCTGGGAGCTGCTACCTTAGGAAGTGGATGCCGTGGCTCGCCAACAGACCAGGCGGGGTCTGGCTGGGAGTGGTGGCATGCACCTGTAATCCCAACTCAGGAGGCTGAAGCAGGAGGGTCACTAGTTCAAGGCTAGCCTGTGAAACACAGTGAGCCCCTGAATCTTAAGAGAAAAAGTGTGAGGCCTAGCCCCCTTATCCATGGAGCAGGGTTCGGCTCCGCAGCACTCACGACAGCTCCAACAGCTCAGACACACCTTGACGTCTGCACCTCTTCAACAGGGATAGTTTTGTGGGTTTCTAGCAAGCTGGAAGAAATGTATTGGCTTTTCCCACAATGGTTTTCCAGTGTAGAGAATCTCAATTTTTTTGGCCATTGATTTTGATTCAACAAGTCATTCCAAAAGTCGTGTACATATTGTAGAGTATTTTATAATATGAGAAAATACTCAGTTCGCGGTGTTGAGTGGGGAAAAAAGAACAGGTTATGATGCAATGGTTTCTTATGTCCTTGATTTTATAAAACACCAAAAAACACAGGTGACTGCATGGGAAAAGATCTAAAGCACAGAGTAGAGTACTTTTCAGTATTTCCTAACTCTTGTATGAGGAATGTAGATTTCTTTTTAAAAATTTTTTAGAGTTTATTATTTTTATTTATTTATTTGGAGAGGTTTTTGTTATAGGGCATGTGCGCGTGCCAGGAAGACAGATAGAAAGCAAGAAATCACCCCCCCAGGGGGATGGCCACGCCGCAATCCCTTCTCCTCCATTCTCCTCTTGGGATCTTGGGCACGCACACACATGCCCGACGTGAGTTTAAGCTACCGGGCCCGGAACTCAAACCATGGCCGACTACATGGGAGTCCAGTGACATAGCCATTACACTAACTGCTGGTCCCCCTAGAGAGATTTTTGCTATAGGGTGTGTGCGCTCCCTGGAGAGACAGAGATAGAGAGATAGAAAGCGAAAAATCACCCCCCGGGGGGATGGCCACAATGCAATCCCTCTCCTCCATTCTCCTTTTGAGATCTTGTGCACACATGCACATGCACTGCACGTGAGTTTAGACGCCAGGTCTGGGACTCGAGCTGTGGTTGACTACATGGGAGTCCAGCAACATAACCATTATGCCATCTGCTGGTCCCAAATGTAGATTTCTGACATTAGAAAAGAAGTAAGGATGGTTGTTAAGAGATAAAGGTCATTTTTAAAAAGATTTTGGAGAAGCACCAGGGTGAATGGGTAAGTAAAACCAGAGGAACTGCATAATAGACGTTCAATAAAAATGAGATCTATGGAGTCTGCTCTCAGGAACCAACTGAAATACGGAAGTATTTTACAGGAATGTGCACCATGGCATAATACCAAAAGGGCATGGGAAAGCTGTGTTCAACACTGGGGGAATGGTTAAATGTGGTATGATACAGTCACTAAAAACATTCATGGAGAAGTTTATAGTAAGACGGGGAAATACAAACGCTATCTTACATTTACAATGTATAAAAAGGAATTACACGTATGAGATGGCCGTGTGGTTGTTAAAGCACATGCGCCGTCTGCGAGTGCGTAACAGAACAGTATTTTGAACATCACCAACATATTAGCAGTGTTTTCTCTTGGTGATAGAATTTGGGTGATATTTAACTTTCTTCTTTATACCTTTTGCAATGTTTAAGTTGGAATTCATAATAAACTTGCATTGCTTTATAAAAAACAGTAAGGTTACTCAAAGAAATCTGTTTACATGCCCGTGTACATGGAGTTAATCTAGACATACCAAAAACAAAGATACACATAGATGCACACACACACACACACACACACACACACACACACACACACTGAAACGGGGTCACAGTAGAGACCGTCCTCTAAGATGTTAGGGTGGTTATCCATGAATGGTAAAATTATTTTGATAATTTTCCATTCCATTCATCTCAATTTTCCATGTTTTCTATAACTTTTCCATTAGAATAGGTTTGATTTTAGAAGTATAGTTACAGACATGTGTAATAACATGGAAATGTGCTTGAACTACAAAAGTAAAAGAAAAGTAACAGCAAGGTACAGATGTTACACGCACTGTGATTACAAACATACAAAACGTATCTGGGCGTGGCAACGGCTACAGGTGAATATGGAAAATAACCTCCTGAGTGTGGAATTGCAGGGACAAGCATGTCCCAGAAATGTCCCATTAGTGGAAAGGTGACAGTGTGACATTATAAATCCCAGTCCTTAAACTAGTTCCCTCCACCTAACACTTAACCGTCTTGGTACCACGATTTGTACAAACACTGACTTGGAAAGGAGCAGTTGGCACTAGCGGGAGACACAGTGAGTCTAAACAGCCAGCAACATGCACCCAGGGCACGGGTCGGCCGGCGAGAACCACCTCTCACGAAGGATTCCACTCACGGGCTATCTCAGCGAGGACGGTAATGATAGCCACTGTCACTGACTGAGCACTACTAGGCCCCAGATGCTCTCTGTATTATTGGGGAGGAAATTCAGACGTGAAGAAGCCATACAAACAGTAGAAGACAATACCAGGACTTAAACTCGGTTTCCGTGACTTCCAAGTCCAGACTCTGCTGTTTCATACCACAGATAAATAGATCTGGGCATGGAAAGAGGGTGTAATCACGAGAGATTTTTTTTTCAGCCCTTTTGAAGCCATCTAGAACACTGCTGTCTTGCTTTCATAATACAGTAAAACAAAAAGGATAAAAAGTGTTATTAACAGTGTGGTCTACTTCTTGGTCCAAAATATGGAAGCAAAATTTATCAAGGAAAAGCATGAAATAAAGATCAAAGAACTTCCACTCTTGACTCATTGCAGTCAGCAGAGGCTCAACACCAGAGAAAGCCAGGAGTCAACGAGATGAAAGTGAGGGCAGAGCCCCGGTGGCGACAGATAAAGGGGGCTATTCTGGAAGTCACTGCACGGGGACTGACTTCATGGCAGCTGCGAGCCGCTTGCTGGGAGTATTCACTTGTAAAAGGCGAGTCTCCAACTTAAGGAGAACAGGCAGCTTTTGAGGATTAAAGTGAGCAGGGCATAACCTGAGCCTGTGAAAAAAGGATCTAGCTTTCAACCTGGAGCCCACAGTACTAAGGGCAGGGGGTGCTGGGAGGAAAGACGTAAGTGGGACAGAACGCCTTCATGGTGTGTGGGGCCTAGAGGACTTGGGCACGCCTGAGTTATCATTATTAGTCAGGACAAAAGCTCAGGCTACGAAACTTCCACAGAGACCAAAGACAGGGAGGTCGGGTGAGCACAACTCGGGCTGCATTTCAGTGAAACTGGGTCTACTTTGCTACCTCTAAGGTCTCTCCCTCCACGTCTGTGGCCCCAGTGAGCATTTCTGGGAGCACCGGCAATGGTGCCCCAAGGACGGGCGGGGTCCCGATAGAGCACTGCTCAGGAAAACCAGTACCTTCCACCTTAGTGGAGTGCGGCTTCAGCTTTAAGTTCTTTGCGTGGGTCTTCCCCAGGTAGTGCGACTGAGCCACAACAGGGGAGGAAAAGGTCATGTTACAGATGGGGCAGCACTGGTTCTTGTCTTTGCTTCTGCTGCTCTTCTGGTTGGGAGAAAGAACACAGGTCTAATCATGCCACCGTCCGGCCAGACATCTTCAATGGTTCCCCACTGCCCACGGGAGAATGGGCACTCAAGACTCCCTTCACACAATAACCCCAGCCTACCTTTCTGGGTCTTTCTCCAACTACTTTGCCCCAGGCTCTACTCACCATTTCCCATTTATTGCTGTTGCTTCCTGCTTTGGTTGAGCTGTTCCTGCTGTCTAGATTGTTCTTCCCTCCTTTCCTGCCTGCCATTATGCTTGCTTAGCCTTCGAGGCCCGGTTTAAAAATCAGCTCTTCTTCTGAGAGGTTTATACTCAAGAAAACCATTCGACAAGCAATTACCACACAATGACAAACACCAGTGTGTGTATGCTAGGGAGGATGACCCTTGCTCCCCTCTGTACTTCCAGTGGGCATTAACCTGTCGTAGGGCCTGCCACCCGCACTCAGCTCGTGACTAGGAGAGCTCTCTGAGAGCTAGGCGCAATACTTGGGCACAAACTCCTCAACTGATCTCTGTTCCCTGGCCCTTACACCCCTGCAGGAGCCTGGCACACAGTAGAAGCTCAGGGTTCAAGAACAAGCAGATTACTGGGTTTTACTTGTCGACCAGGTTACAAATCAACCCACTGCAAGTCTGCATTATGGCCTCCCACCTCTCTGACACGTCTGATTTCTGAACAGGAGTTCCTCGGCCTTGGCCTCCTGACACCTGGGCTTGCTAGGTCTTTGCTGGCTGCATGGGCAGGCCGAGCAGCAGGCGCCGTGGTCCCACTGGACTCCTGAGCCTCCCTGATGGGTGAAGTGACCTTCCCAGGGTCCCAGGGCTGATCCTGACAGCCTGAATTCTAAAGCATGAGAAGAACAACGAGGGCCCTCTGAATTCTGGGGAGGGAGCGTCAAGGCCCTTCCACACCTGTGGTCACTATAAGAGGCAGCAGTTCATAAACTCCTATCTATTGAGCACCTACTAGTGCTCTTTATTCATCACAGAGTGTGTGCACATGTGTGCACAGATGAGAGAAAGGTGGGGAGCACCCTCCACAGGGACCGGTCATACTATGATCCCCTTCCTCCAGCTCTCCTGCTTATCGGATCTTGGGCACTTGCTTGTGGGCTCAGTGTGCCTCAGGCTGACCGGGTCAGGGGTTCAAATCCCAATCACCATGTGGTACCCTTTCTCTCTCGGGCGCTGTGCCATGGAGCCAGCCCCAGCTCACAGAACCCTTACGAAGTAGGAATTATCTCCACCTCACAGATGACGTTCGCAGAGGTCAAGCGACTGCCCGTCACCTGCCCAGGAAGCTACAGAGCCAGTGCTGGGCCCTCAGCTGCTGCCTCTCAGCCCACGGTGCCGTAGAGTCTCCCCAACTGTGGAGATAAGGGTATTCCTGAGGGACTGGGCACCGTCTCAGCATAATTCTCACAGCATTTCTGAGTCGAGAAGCAGATATGATTAGCTATCACTCTGGGCAGGCATTTGGAAATGGCCCATTCTCCTTGTTTATTCTAAACATTCAAGTGCCGAGCTCAGTTCTGCCCCTGGCTCTCCTCCCAGCTTCCCACTCATCTCTGAGCACCGAACGGGCAGCTCCTCGTCCTGCTTCAGTACACCACTGGGAAGGAACGCTTAACAACAGCCCCACTGACCGAGTCCCTACTATGCGCCAGGCTCTGTGCTGGGTGTTTTTCTATATACCTTCCCTCGTTCTTGTTTATGAAAATCCTGAGAGGCAGTTGAAACACCCTCATTTTTGCAGGGGAAGAGATCAAGGCTCAGAGAAGTAATTAGACTTGCCCAGGTCACACAACAGGGCTGGGATTTGAAGCCAGTAGGTCTGACTCAAAGCCCACACTCTTGCACCACACCAACCTGCCTACTGGCTTCGTCAGGAAGCGAGCGTCTCAACGTGGCAGCTGTATTACCTGATCTGAGTCTAGCTTCTTCGTTTCCCCCTTTAATGTCTCCATTCCATGGATTGCTAGGTATCTCTTCACTTTGTTGGCATGTTTTTTGCTCTGCAAGAACCCAGGAAAAAGATCAAAGATAGCCAAATGCCACTTCAGATCTAAGGCACTCAAACACTTACTAGATTCATCCTCACAAAAACTGTTGAGAGGGTAGAGAAAAAAACAGTCATGGAGTTCGTATTCTGTGCAACTGTTTACAAACTACCAAATTCAATCTTCGCAGCGCTCTCTGAGAAAATCATCCTCTCTATCTTACAGATGAGCAAAGTGAGGCTGAAGATGGCGAGGCTGCCCCAAGCCGAGAGTGGAGATTCAGACTCAGGTCTACCTAAACCAAAGTGCGTATCTGCTACATCAAGCTGCTAGGGAAGAGACTCACAGTTCTGATTTGGATGGGAGGAGGAGGAGACTCAGAAAAAGTAAACCAATCTTTAAGTCATGAACCAACATACGTGGAGGCAACACCCGAGTGGCTCGAAGGAATTACGTGTCACCGTGCGAGCCAGGGAACAGTGGACTGGGTCTGAAAAGTAAAGCAATTCTAAAGGAACGATGGCATACCTGGTAGTGTGCCAGCTTCTGGGACTCAGAGATGAGTAAGGCGCAGCAGATCTTACACTGGGTGTGCGTGAAGAGACACTGGTTCTTCTGGATCATGTGCTCCACTAGAGGGGAAAAGGAAAAAGTCCCTGAGATGACAGACACTCAGCAGCACCGCCGTGGAAGCCTTCGAATAGGCCCTGAGTGATGCCAGACCTTCCCTCTCCTGCATCACGATGCATGCTATGTTCTGACACCGACTGTTACTTACTTTTTATCCGTTTTCATTTTTGCTGTAAGGTGTGTGTGCTTGCTGGAGAGAGGGAGAGAAAGTGAGAAAGCACTCCCCAGGGGGTATGCCCATGCCACAGTCCCTCCTCCTCCTCTTCCCCTGGACTTTGGGCATGCACGCACACCCACGCACCCGGCATGACTTTCTTCCTTTTTTAAATATATGTATGCAGACTGTTAGTATGATAACAAGCAACCACAAAGTATAGGAATGGACATTCTTTTTATATAATTTTATTTATTCATTTATTTTAATTTGCCCAGAAAGAGAGGGAAAGTGAGAAAGCAAGCCATCGGGTCCAGGACTCGAACCGTGGTTGGCCATGTGGAAGTGTTCAGTGCCTTAACCACTATGCCACCTGATGGTCTCCCGGCATGACTTTCAAGCTGTTGGTTCCTGGATTCAAAAAGCACAGTGATCCATGTGGGACCCAGCCACCTTAACTCTCATGGCACCTGCTGGCCTATTACTGATTTGTAAGTTTATGTGGGCCAACTTTCTTTACTTGGTAACTTTGTTTTTAGTTTTTAGGGCACATGAGCTTGCGGGAGAGACAGAGACGCAGATAGAGGGGAAGTAAGAAAGCATTCATGGAGGGAGTGGCCATGCTGCAGGAAAGGGATCCCTTCTCCATTCTCCTCTTGGGATTTTGGGCACACATAAATGTGTTTTCAAGCCACCAAGTTGACTCAAACCGCTCAGTTGGCAATGTGTCCTAGTCTCTGCTAGCCTGGTAACTTCTTTTTAAAAGAATCTTTAGATTGTCTACTTAGGTAGATAAAAATAAAAATAAACATGATAAAAGTGAGACAATTTGGGGCCAGCAGGTAGCAAGATGGTTAAGATGCTGGATTCCCACATGTCTGACTCCAGCTTGAGTCCTGGACCTGGTAGCTTGCTTTCTCATTTTCTCTCTCTGGTAAGTATATGTGCCATATAGCAAACTTTAAAAATAATAATAAATAAAATAAATTAAAACAACAACAACAACAACAATTCTAGCCAGATTTGGTGCTAGACAGATGAAGTGTTCCCTAGGAAGAGAGCAGCAGGGCCAGCTGGTGGCGTGGTGGTCAAGGTGTTGGACTCCCACGGGGCTGACTGCGGTGAGTTCCAGACCTTGAAAATCATGCCAGGTGCAAGTGTCTGTGTGCCCAAAATCCTGAAAGGACAATGGAGGAAGGGGTTGCAGTGTGGCCATCTCCTCTGGGGGGTCACTTCTCACTTTCCCTCTCTCTGTCTCTTCTCAGGTGAGCGCACATACCCTAAGGCAAAAAACCTTAAAAAAAAAAAAAAAAGAGAGAGAGCAACAAACCCTGAAGAGGAGTTTCAGGTCATGGTAGCACACGAGACACAAAGGGACTGAGAGACTTGAAAGGGATTGATTTTCTCCCTGTACTTGAACTGACTCTGAAACATAGAGTCAGCTAACCTATTACACGAGTCCCTGCGTGGGTATTTCACCTGTGCTCACTGGCTGGGCCTGCAGAACAAGGCCCGACCTCTCTGAGGTGGACGGAGACATCCACTGGACACAGGTCCATTATGGCACAGACGATCCTAGGGAGGGGCAGAGTCCAGAAAACTGGGAGGGGAGGGCAATCTTACTCCTTTTTCCTTTTGTTAAGTTTATTTCTTTGCCTATTTAACAAGAAACAGAGAGGGAGAGGCACCCCTAACAGAGTCCTCACACTGAGACCTGCCTCCACCTTAGCCAGCCCAGATCATAGGCACGCACGTGTGTGTCCAGTACACTCAGGAAGGTCCTGGGATGTGAACTTTGCATTAGTGCCGTGCCACCGCCTAGCTCCAAGTCCATCAGAAAGTGGTTAAGGCGCTGGACTCCCACATGGCTGACCACAGTTCGAGTACCAGGCTTGGTGGCTTGCTTTCTTACTTCCTCCTTCTCTCACTCTCTGTCTCTTTGATCAAAATTAAGAAATAAGGGACCAGTAGTTAGTGTAATGGCAATGTCGCTGGACTCCCACGTAGTCGACCGTGGTTCGCATCCCGGACCTGGTGGCTTAAAACTCACACCAGGCACGTGTGCGGGCATGCCCAAGATCCCGAGAGGAGAATGGAGGAGAAGGGATTGTGGCATGGCTATCCCCCCTGGGGGGTGATTTCTCACTTTATGTCTCTCTGTCTCTCTGTCTGGCGAGCGCACGCGCCCTATAGCGAAAACCTCTCCAAAAAAAAAAAATTAAGAAATAATAGGGACCAGCAGTTGGCATAATGGCTATGTCACTGGACTCCCATGTAGTCAGACCCGGCAGCTTAAACTCACGCCAGGCGCACGTGCATGCATGCCCAAGATCCCGAGAGGAGAAGGGATTGTGGCATGGCCATCCCCCCTGGGGGGTGATTTCTCACTTTCTGTCTTTCTGGCAAGCACATACGCCCTGTAACAAAAACCTCTCCAAAAAAAGAAATAATAACAAGTAAAATTAAATAAGGAAAAAAAGAAAGGATGCCGTAGAGGGAGGTTTTAGTAGGGAAGTTTTAAGATGTCCTGTAAGATCTAAAGCTTACCTATGCCAGCCCTTTTGAACAGAAGAGCTGCTTTCTGGCTGTATTTTGTCCCTTATGGTCTCTTATTTTCCCACTTTTCTCCTATAGTGTTAGGTAAATTTTTGTGAAATACCTTATTTTCCCTAGTTGGGCTCAGATAAACCAATGAAAATGTCTCCATGAACAAGCTGGGCCAGAGATTTTAGGAGGATGGAGACTCCTGCCCTCCCCTCCTCACCTAGGCTGGATTTTGATTTCCTAAAGGAGACAGTGCTTCCTTTCAATGATAATCAGGGTCTGACTCTCAAATACTAACCAGGACAGGGGCCATGCTGTTTATGACTTTGCACCCCTGACACCTAGTGTAATACAGTACCCACAGCCGGGGCTCCGAGAGTGCCCACTGAGAGTGAAATGCACCCCGACCAGAACCAGCCTGGCCCGAGTTCCCGCACATACGCGAATGTGTGCATTCAGAGTGTGCTCCAAGTGCCAGAACGGGCTTAGAGCCAAGGTCACGCCAACAAAGATAGATAGGCACTAGGCACAAGGAAATAAATAAGATAGTGACAGAAGGAGAGATGCTATGAAAACCAATGGCAGAGAAGGATGGGGACAGGGCAGTCATCGAAGACCACCGAAGGCAGCTGTCAGCCACAAGAGGCGCTGTAGCCCCCAATGGTGTCTAAGGGAGGGACGAGTGTGGTGGGTTCCAGGAAGGGGAGAAGGTCACAATGGCTGGGGACTGGTAAGAAGGAGAGGAGTGGTAAAAAAGCAGGTCGAGAGCCAGGTGAGGCCTGCTAAATCATGCTACTGTACAGAGGCTCTGGAGTGATGAGGGATGACAGTATCTGGTCTGTGTTCTGAAAAGATCCCCCTTCCTCTGAGGACTGTGTCAGCAGGTTGTCTGGGAACCAGAGGAAGCAGAAAGAACAGGGAGGGCTGCTGCTGTCTTCTAGGTAACAGACGCTGGGCATGTAGGTGGGGCAGCTGGTGCAGATAAAGAAGGTGGACGGCCTTGGAATTATGTTCTACAAGCAGATGTGGACTTGGAGTTCTTAGATTGGATGTGGGGCTGGGAACAAAGGAAGGAAAAGAATCAAGAGTAATTTCTAGTTTCTGAACTTGAATAGACTAGAATCGGAGGAAGACAGCCCAGAGGAGGAATTAAGAACTTTCCTTCAGGGTCAGCAGGTAGTGTGGAGGTTAAGGCACCTGGTCCCACATGGCCGACTGCGTGGTTCGAGTCCCATCAGGAATGTCCTCAGGAATAATGTTAAATGTTTCAGTAGGCGAGCTACAGTCTCTAGCTCCACTGGAAACAGGAAACTTCCACTGCCCCTGAACTTGCCTCTGCACCTCCTGACACTGGAGAAGGGATAGCAGAATGCTGATGGAGGAAGATGGCTATGGCTTTTCTTTTCTTTCTTTCTTTTTTTAAGAATTATTTTATTTAGCTTTATTTAATTAATTAATTAATTTAAATTTGACGAGAGAGGGGCAGAGAGAGACAGAAAGTGAGAAAGCAAGAAAGCAAGCCGCCAGCCAGGTCTGGGACTTGAACTGTGTTGGGCCATATGGGCGTCTAGCACCCTTCACCACCACACCACCTGCCAGGCACGCCATGGCTTTTCTTGATAGCAATGATGGCCTAGTAGCATAGGAACTGCCTTCCAAATCTTATAAAAAGTTATGTAATTGGAAGATTTCATTTGCATCCATACTGCAGCCAACTAGAAGCTATATGGGGCAGAAGCTGAAAGCTACAATCTGAAGTAGGAAACCCAGGGTTGATTTTCACAGGGTCAATGAAGTAGGGATAGAGAGAACTAGTGTGGGACAGCAAAGTAATTCACAGACTTGACATGATGAAACTTAAAGTTCATAAAAGAAACTTGGGGAAGTAGGGTCTGGAAGACAAACGTTCACGATCCTCTGATACAGGTTATAATCGCCTTGGAGTCATTTACTGTGCCTTCAATTGCCCCCGGGTGACTTAGGGCCAGAAAGGCTGGTCCCAGAACAATTAAGCCACCTCCCATACCCCAACTGATAGTGAACACTGCTCACTTAAATGATTATCCCTTGGGCCTAAGAATCTACAATTCATAGCTGCAGAAATTCATCAACTGACAGAAGGGGCCCTAGAGGGAACCAGCAGTTAGCGTAATGGCTATGTCACTCCCACGTAGTCGACCGCGGTTCACGTCCCGGACCCAGTGGCTTAAAACTCACGCCAGGCGCGTGTGCGTGCATGCCCAAGTTCCCGAGAGGAGAATGGAGGAGAAGGGATTGTGGCGTGACCATCCCCCTTGGGGGGTGATTTCTTGCTTTCTGTCTCTATGTCTCTCTCTGTCTGTCTGGCGAGCGCACGCGCCCTATAGCGAAAACCTCTCCCCCGTCCCCCCAAAGAGAGAGATGAAACCTACTTAGTGCCCCCACTATTAGGGCTTATCGGGAGGCAGCAGGTGTCCAGGTGGCTATAGTTAGAAGGCAGCACATAGACGGTCCTCGGAGAGGGAGGCTGGGCACACTGCCACTGCGGAAATGGTTGGGCAGGGTGGTCTGATGGCAAGGTGTGCCACAGGAACAAGCCAGCGAGCCCCAGGGTGGCCACTGAGCTCGGTGCTTCTATTTTGTTTTGTTCTTTTTAGTTTCAGAGAGACAGAGGGAGAGAGAGAGAAAAAGTGAGAAATGACTCCCTGGGAGGATGGCCACGCTGAGATCTCTTCTCCTCTGAAGATTTTGGGTATGAACACAGAGTGTTTAAGTCGCAGGGTATGGGACTTGAACCATGCAGTCAGCCATGTAGGGTCCAGCAGCCTTAACTTCTGCACCACCTGCTGACCTGGTACATCTATTTTGTGAATCTGTATTTTTAATGGTTTCAAAATGCTCAAAAAAAAATTTTTTTTTTTTTTTTTAGGTTTTTGCCATAGGGCATGTATGCTTGCAGACAGACAGAGAGAGGAAAAAAGAACTCACCCCCCAGGGGGGATGGCCACTCTCCTCCATTCTCTTGTAAGGATTTTCAGCACGCACACACGCACACACACACACACACACACACACACACACACGCTTGGCGTGCTTTTCAAGCCACCAGTTTCAGGACTCAAACCATATTCAAACATGTGGGAGTTCAGCACCTTAACCATCACACTACCTACTGGCCCCAGAAGCTCAAATTTTTTTTTTTTAAGAATTATTTTTTGGGGACCAGCAGTTAGTGTAATGGCTATGTCGCTAGAATCCCATGTAGTTGACCGAGGTTTGAATCCCAGACCCGGAGGCTTAAACTCACGCCGGCACGTGTGTGTACGTGCCCAAGATTCTGAGAATGGAGAAGGGATTGCGGTGTGGCCATCCCTGGGGGGTGATTTCTTGCTTTCTGTCTCTCTGTCTGTCTGGCGAGCGCACGTGCCCTTTAGCAAAAAAAAACTCTCAAAAAATGTTTTTAAATTCTATTATTATTTTCTAGTTTGAGCGGACAGAGAGAGAGAGAGGGAAAGTGAGAAAGGAAGCCACCAGGCCTGAGACTTGAACCATGGTCAGCCATGTGGGAGTCCAGTGCCTTTAGCCACCAGGCCCCAAAACTTAAATTTTTACCTAATAAAAAACACATGAAGAAAGCAAGTGGTAAAGGCACTAATGATGTGGTAATAGTTTCCTACTTACAACACGTACAACAGAACCAAACAGAAATTCTGGAATTCAAAGTATAATAAATGAAACAAAAAATTCACAAGAGGAACTCAACAGCAGATTCACAATGGCAGAGGACACAATCAGTGAATATGAAGACAGGTGAAGAGAAATGGCCAATCTAAAGAACAAAGAGAAAAAAGATATAAGAATAATGGCCAGAGCTTCAGAGACGGTGAGAAAACATGTGTATAAGGAAATCGTAGGAGAGAAGAAACAAAGGGCAGAAAGAAAAATTTGCAGAAATAAAGTCTGAAATTCCCCATATTTGATCTACACATCCAACAATCTCAAGGAACTCACAGAAGGATAAGAGATTTATACCTAGACACATATCAAACTGCTCAAAGACAAAGACAGAAAATCTTGAAAGCAGCAAGAGAAAAACGATGCACAGAGGAATAAGTCAGTTGATGACTTAATTCCTTAACCACCACGCCACCTGCCAGCCCCTAAAGGCACAATTCTTAAAGGGAAAAAAAAAATGATAAATTGGATTTTATCAAAATTAAAACATTTAGGGCTGGCCTGTAGCCTACTGATAAAGGGAGTTGGATTCCACATGGCTGACTGCAGTTTGAGTTGTGGGCCTGGCAACGAGGTGTATGCATATGCGTGCCCCAAATCCCAACAGAATGAAGAAGGGATTGCAGAGTGGCCACGGCCCATCAGGGGGTGCTTTTTCCCTCTCCCCCTCCTCTTTCTGGAGAGTTTACGTGCTCTATGTCCATAAAAAATTTTTTTAAAACATTTTGTGCTTCAATAGGCACTGCATAGGAAATGAGGAGACAAGTCATAGCCAGGGAGGAGATACATATTTGGAAATCATGTCTCTAAAGAAGGACTGGCATCCAGAACGCACAGTTATTACAAGTCAGAAAGAAGACAGACAGCTCTCTATGAACTGAGCCCAAGGGAGGAATAAATACCTCACCAAAGAAGACAGAGTAAGCACATGAAAGGCACTGATGTCAGCAGTCTCTAGGGACCCATGGAGATGTCACTACTGTCAATGCATTCCTTTTTTTGGAGAGGTTTTTGCTACAGGGTGCATGCACTCGCCAGAAAGACAGCAAGATAGAAAGCAAGAAGTCATCCCCCCAGGATCCCGTTTCCTCCATTCTCCTCTAGGGATCCTGAGCATGCACACACACACGCCTGGCGTGAGTTTAAGCCACCGGGTCTGGGACTCAAACTGCAGTTGATGACATGGGAGTTCAGCGACATAGCCATTACGCTAACTGCTGGTCCCTGTCAATGCATTTCAATCCCAAACCTGTAAAAAATGAAGTTTCATTTGGGGTATTCGGGTTGAAACCTGGAGAGGACAGATTGTGCCCATCCGAAGAGTTGCAAGGAGCTGAGTAGCAATTGGTTTTATAGATAGAGAAGGACTAAAGAAAGCCTAAACAAGGGCCAGTGCGGTCGAGAGGCTGGGACCTGGATCCCACATGCTGATTGAGGTTTGAGTCCCAGGTCTGGTGGCTTGAAAACTGTGCCGAGGGAGTGCGCACGCACATGTGTTCAAAATCACAGGAGAATAGAGAAGGGATTATGTGTGGCCAACCCTCTGGGGATGATGTCTCATTTTTCCTCTTGCTGCCTCTCTGCCTGGTGAATGCACATGCTCTATGGCAAAATAAATAAATAAATAAAATAGCCTAAACAAAGTACAAAAGTGGATTGGTCTTTTTTTTTTTCCCTTTTTTTGCTAGACTGTATTTGTGCTTGCCAGACAGAGTGAGAGGGGAGAGCACCATCCCCTGCCCTTTCACCCCAGGTGAAATGGTCAGACTACAATCCTTTCTCCTCCATCGCTCCAGCTATTTCTTTGAACTCCCTTAAATATTAAATCCCCACTCCTAGCTCCTGCCCTAAACTCTTCTGTTTTCTCTCTCTCAAGTTTACCTTTTCTGGGCAATTCACACAACATATGCAATCTTCTGAATTTTGCTACCTTAGTTTTTTTTTTTTTTTTTTTTAAGACAAATGTCTAGGTACCAGTAGATGGCCTAATGGTTATGTCACTAGACTCCCACATAGTTGACTGCAGGTTAAGTCCTGGACCCAGCAGCTTAAAACTCACATAGGGGGACCAGCAGTTGGCAAAATGGCTATGTTGCTGGACTCCCATGTTGTCAAACACGGTTCGAGTCCCAGACCCAGTGGCTTAAACTCACACCGGGTGTGTGTGCGTGCATTCCCAAGATCCCAAGAGGAGAATGGAGAAGGGATTGTGGCATGGACATCCCCCCATGGGGGGTGATTTCTCGATTTCTTTCTCTCTGTCTCTGTCTTTCTGGTGAGCGCACACGCCCTATAGCAAAAACCTCTCCAAAAAATAAAAGAAAAAAAGAAAAAAAAATTAAGATGGGGTCTAAGTATGTCTCAGTCTTCCTGCTTCAGTCACCCAAGTACCTAGGACGACAGGTGTATGCCACCAAATAAGGCTTCAGGGTATGTAAGGAATCAAACCTCAGCCTGTTGTGCAGCAGAGCTCGCCATGGGTGGGCCCCCTTAGCATGTTTCTAAGCAGTGGCTAAGTCACAATGCTAGTACTTCATTCCTTTCTATCGCTAAGTAGAATACCTTGGTATGGATATACCACATTTTATTTACCCATTTATTAGCTGTGGATGTCTGGATTATCTCCAGTTTAGAGTATGTATGTATGTATGTATGTATGTATGTATTTTTCTTAAATTTGACCAGAGAGACAGAGAGGAAAAGAGAGAAAGCAAGTCACCAGGTCTGGGACTTGAACCTCAGTTGGCCAAGTGGGAGTCCAGAGCCTTAACCACCACACCACCTGCTAGGTCTGTTTACAGGTTTTATGAATAACTACTGTAAATATTATTGCTCAAATTTTTAAGTGGACATATGTTTTATTTGAGTATGTCTCTAGGAGTAGAACTGCTGGGTCACATGATAACTATCTTTCTTTTGTATTTACTTAATCTTATTACTGCTATTACTTTTAAAAAGAATTATTTAATTCTATTTTTATTCATCCATTTATTTTTAATTTGATAAAGAGAGACACAGGGGAGGGGGGAGTGAGAAAGCAAGCCACCAGGTCTGGGATTCGAACCGTGGTCAGCCATGGGAGTATTCAGTGCCTTAATCATCCCGCCACCTGCTGGTCCCACTTTATTTTTTTTAAGTTTGTTATAGGACATGTGTGCTCACCAGAGAGACAGAGAGATAGAGAAAAGGAAAGTGAGAAAGCAAGCCACTAGGTCTGGGACATGAACTGCTATTGGCCATGTGGGAGTTAACAACTAACTGCTATACCATCTGTTGGTCCTGACAACTCTATTTTAAACATTTTCGGGAACTAGCTTCCAAACTTTTTTTTAGAATTATTTATTTTTATTTATTATTTAAACTCTTACAGGGCATATGCAGTCATGTCAGAGAAAGAGAGAAAGCAAATTGCCTGGTCTAGGACTCAAACCACAGTTGGCCATGTGGGAGTCCAGTGCCTTAATCACTGCCACCTGCTGGTCCCCAGCCCCCAAACTGCTTTTACAAAATGGTTTACCATTTTACATTTCTATAATCAACGTATGAAGAGTTCAGCTTCTCTAAGTTCTCATCAACATGTGTTTTATCTTTTTTCCCTTTTTTTTTTTAGATTTTTGCTATAGGGTGCATGGACTCACCTGAGACAGAGACAGCAAGAAATCACCCTCCGAGGAGGCTGGCCACACCGCCATTCCTTCTCGATTCTCCTCTCAGGATTTTGGGCATGCATGCACACATACCTAGCATGAGTTTTAAGTCACTGGGTCCAGAACTTGAATCACAGGCTACTATGTGGGAGTCCAGCAACGTAACCATAACACCGTCTGCTGATCCCAATGCCCAGTGCTTTTGAAACCACTGGTGCTGTAGGATTTAGCTCCCTTAACCACTAGGGAGGAGGCTAGTTTTTCTTGACATTTTTTAAAAAAGAATGATTTATTATTATTATTTTTTGACTTGGCAAGACAGAGAGAGAAAGGGAAAGCAAAAAAGCAAGCCATCAGGTCCAGGACTCGAATCATGGTCAGCCATGTGGGATTATCCAGCACTTTAACCACCATGCCACTTGCTGGCCCCCTTAATAATCTTATTTTTAAAACCATGTGAAGCAATTTAGTGTTTGTGGGGCTGGCAGGTGGCATGGTGATTCAAGGCTCTGGACTTCTACATGGTCAACTGCGGTTCAAATCCTGGACCTGGTGGCTTGCTTTCTCGCTTTTCCTCTCTCTTTCTCTCACTCTGTCCCTTCTTGTCAAATTAAAATAAATGAATATATAAAGTTAAATAAAATAGTTATAGGGAAAAAATAGATATCAATTTAAAAAACCCATGAAGCTGGAGATGATCCTGCT